CATTTCGGGTTTATTTACTTACTTTTGAAGAGCATTTAAATATTTATTTTCAAAATTATAGTATTTCGGGTTTATTTACTTATTTTTGAAGAGCATTTAAATATTTATTTATAAAATTATTGTGGTTAAAAAAACAACGCATTCTATTCAATATCTTTATGGGGTAAACAAGGATAAAAAATCTTAAAAAAAAACATTTATTACCTTTATTAACAATAAACAATAAAAATAATAATGAAAGAGCTTTTTTTTTTTTAAAGAAAATATATCAAACTGGTGGTGCTGTAAGACAGATGACGTGTCCTTTTATTACCATTAATCATTTGGGTACTAAAAGAATTTTTTCCTATCCCCAAGAATCCAATACACTTCTTGATAATGGAATCCGCAGACAACCAATGAGAGATGGTCATAATAAGGTTTACAAGTTGTTTTCAAATGTAATTGAAGGCAAAGAGGGAAGGTTTCGTGAGACTATGCATGGCAAACGGGTTGATTATTTAGGGCGTTCTGTCATTATCAAAGGACCATTACTTTCATTATATCGATGTGGATTACCTTATGAAAGAACAATAGAGCTTTTCTAGACATTTGTAATTCGTGGTCTAATTAGGCAATATCTTGCTTCAAACATAGGAGTCGCTAAGAGGAAAAATCGAGAAAAAAAGCCAATTGTATAGGGAATACTTCAGGAGGTTATGCAGGGACATCTTATATTGTTGAATAGAGCGTCTACTCTGCAAAGATTAGGCATGCAGGCATTCCAACCCATTTTAGTGGAAGGACGTGCTATTTGTTTACATCCATTAGTTCGTAAGGGATTCAATGCAGATTTTGATGAGGATCAAATGGTTGTTCATGTACCTTTATCGTTGGAGACTCAAGCGGAGGCTCATTTACTTACGTTTTCTCATATGAATCTCTTGTCTCCAGCGCTTACGTTTTCTTATATGAATCTCTTGTCTCCAGCTATCGAAGATCCCATTTCCATACCAACTCAAGATATGCTTATAGGGCTCTATGTATTAACAAGCGGGAATTGTTGAGGTATTTGCGCAAATAGGTATAATCCATTTAATTGCAGAAATCTTCAAAACAAAAAAATTGACGCTAATGCTAATAAGGATAAATATATAAAAGAACCCTTTTTTTTTGTAATTCCTATGATGCAATTGGAGCTTATCGCCAGAAAAGAATCAATTTAGAGAGCCCTTTGTGGCTTCGGTGGCAACTAGATCAAGGCCTTATTGCTTCAAGAGAAGCTCCCATCGAAGGTCACTTTGGATCTTTAGGTACCTATCATGAGATTTATGGACACTATCTAATAGTAAGAAGTATAAAAAAAAAAATTCTTTCTATATACATTCGAACCACTGTTGGTCATATTTATCTTTATCGAGAAATCGAAGAAGCTATACAAGGGTTTTCCCAAGCCTGCTCAGACGGTACCTAATCTAATCATAGGGATCTATAAGGGTTTTGCCAAGCCTGCTTAAACGATACCTAATCTAATCATATAGATCTAAAATAAGTGATTTTATGACATTGGCCTGAATTTAGATCTCTTTGGTGCAATTAGGACTATAGTTCCTGAATTTCTACCCGAATTAAGATTAAGAAAAGGAAGTTTTCCAAGCATTAACTCAAATATATTATCGACCCCTATTCATCAAAATATGGAGGTTTTTATGGCTGAACGAGCCAATCTCTTCTTTCACAATAAAGTGATAGATAAAACTGCCATTAAACAAATTATTAGTTGATTCATAGATCACTACAAAATGGCATATAAATAATGCATTCTGGATTAAGTAAAGACTCTGGGTTTTCATCAAGCCACTGCTACATCTACTTCATTAGGAATTAATGATCTTTTAACAATACCTTCGAAAGGATGGCTAGTCCAAGATGTTGAACAACAAACTTTGATTTTGGAAAAACACCATCATTATAAAAATGTATATGCGATAGAAAAATTATGTCAATCCATTGAGATATGGTATGCTATAAATGAATATTTACGATAAGAAATGAATCTGAATTTTAGGATGACAGGACCCTTTAATCTAGTCTATATAATGTCCTTTTCAGGAGCTAGGGGAAATACACCTCAAGTACACTAATTAGCAGGTATGAGAGGATTAATGTCGGATTCACAAGGACAAATGATTGATTTACCCATTCAAAGCAATCTATGGGAAGGATTGTCTTTAACAAAATATATCATTTCTTGCTATGGAGCCCGAAAAGGAATTGTGGATACTCCTGTACGAACATCAGATGCTAGATATATTACGCGTAGACTTGTTGAAGTAGTTCAACACATTGTTGTACGTAGAACAGACTGTGGCACCACCTGAGGGATTTCTATGTTGAAATGATAATTGATACAACAACAGTACAAGTTATCAATTCTTTTTCTAGACTGAAATCCTTAAATGAGGTCTATGCAATTATATGGATGCTTGTCCCTATTTTGACTCTTGTATTGGGAATCACGATAGGTGATTAGTACTTAAAAGTACATTTTTATCATGATTTTATATCATCATTTTGCACTTGAAGTATCAATAACTCCTTAACTAAAGCATGTTTTATAATAAGATATCTAATAATATAAGATACCTTTAATTTATGGTAAATATTCATTTTAAA